TGATATCATTGCTTACATTTTAAGATTGGTATTGCTACCGTGTTTCCCCGAAAATAAGACACTGTCTTATATTTTTTTTGGCTCAAAAAAACACACTAGGTCTTATTTTCGGGGTAGGTCTTATATTTTAGCAATTCCCAAAAATAGTACTAGGTCTTATTTTCGGGCTAGGTCTTATTTTCGGGGAAACAGGGTATATGTCATATAAGTAACTTACTATTAATCGCCACACAGGGGATTGTACATTTATAGGAGGCCATACAGTTTTAATTTATATTTACTGTAATAAAATAATTTTTACCAAATAGCTGCCACGATAGAGCTTTTTAATAAGGCACACACTACGTTTAAAGTTTGGTAACACACAATAAGCAATCAGAATTTTTTCATTTACTGATCTGACTATGGTAATTATAAATCTGATTGGTCGCTATGGGTTACTGTACTTGACGTTTACAATGTCTTTCAGAAAAAAATGTAACTGTTCCAACTACACAAGCTTATAGTAGACCGCTAAAGGACTAAGGGCTGATTTACACCGGACAGCTCAAGAAAATAGCAAAAATGGATGGTAAAATGGTTACACCTATCTCCTAGGACACTAGCAAAAAAAATTGGAGGCATGCTGGGAGTGTAAAAAATTATACAGACTACTCACTGTTTTTTTTTTTTTTTGCCAGTGTCCAAGTCTTCCTGTAGGGCAGAAGTATAACCAAACTGTCTCTGAATCATGTGTCCCTCAATGAATGGAGAAAGAAAAGTATTTCCAATTTGCTGGATGTAGTGTCAGGTCTACAGTAAGATTAAAATGGCCTCTGATAATTAAGGTACCTTGAGAGGAATTGAGAATAGTAAGAAGTGTAGGAATTTCTTTCTTTCTTTCTGACTGGGTATATAGACTATCACAAAAGTGAATATTTTATTAAAGACAGAGATTTGACACCTGCCATTTTTAATCATCTCATACTATATATGCATTTTTGATTTTTTTCCAGACTTGAGTGATATTCAAAAAGGGAACAATCTAAGGGGGTTATTCACAAAGCTGTCCAAGGCAAACGAGCGAATAACCCAGCCGAAATGAACCGAACAACGTTCGGCTATTTAATCCGGCTCATTCGCATAGTGGCCAAACGGCAATGAGTGAATAGCCGAATGCCGCCGAGCGGCAATTACTATTTTCATTGATTTTCTCTTCTGCTCGGTACCTCCGTGGTACAGAGTAGAAGAGAAAATCAATGAAAATAGTTGGGGGGGAAAAAAAAAAGGTTGAAAAATTTAAAACATTTAAATATACATTAAAAAAAAACAAAAACGAAAAAACAATTGGGCCAACTGTTTCCTATTGGCCAGTACATGCTAGAGTCTTCTAGCAGGTCCCAGCCAATGAATAACTGAGCAGATCCGGCTCCGCCAAGTTGTTATTGTTTAATGACAGTTCAGCGTCCCCAAGTCTTTTGGGGATGCTGATCCGTCATTACAACTGGGCGGAGCCAGCGGCTGGCTCTACCCAGCTGTCATTTGCGGGGCGAAAAGAAGGCCTTCGGCAGGCCTTTTGCCCCGCTTCAGCTGTCACATTTTTAATACAATTACAAACCATTAGAAAAAGCCAAACCAACTAACACAGTTTGGACTGTCCAGCTGGTGCAGTGTGCTGAAACTGTTGCAGTTACACTTGGACTGGCCGTATTGGCCATCCCAAGTACATTAACCAAGATTAACCTCTTGCCGTCCGCCCGTAGTAGAAAAACGGACGGACGGCACTGCTGCATCTGCGGGTTGCTGCTCGCTCCTGGATGGGAAGGGGGTTTAACACCGCGGATGTCAACTGGTTAAAGAGTACCTAAAGCCAAAACCAAAAATTTACTATATTGCAGTTTACCAATACTTTGATGTTGTGACTGCATTGCTTTCTTTTTTAGGCTTTTTTTTCACCTAGTGATCCAGCCAGTAAGTCTATTATTTGTCAACTTCCTTTAACACACCAAGCTGCCCAGCAAAGGTGGAAGATAGAGGGTTGAGACAAACCATTTAACACTGATAGGGATGCTTTCAATAGTTATAGCTCTTATTCTTTTATGTAAAACGTTTAGACAAAAAGTAAGAAATAAACTGTTGCTGTAACTGCTTTACATTTTTGATAAAGTTCAGCTTAAAGGAGAACTATGGGGTTTTCCCCATAGTTCTCCTTAGGGTAACGGGAGGACACAAACTAGCGTCCTCCCGTCACCCTAAGCTACAGCTCGCGGTATACGGAGACGCAGCAGCTGGAGCGGATCCCGACATCGATGTTGAGATCCGCCCAGCTGCGTGAGTGACAGCTGGCTCTGCCTATCTAGAGGCAGAGCCAGCTGTATCGCCCCCTTCCCCGTCCGTCCGTCAGTCAGCGCTGGCAGATCGGAGCGGGGAATCCATCCCCTCCCCTGTCACGGCAGAGAGCCGTGACAGGATCGAGAAGTGAGCGAACACCAGCATGTGTTCGCTCACCTCCCGATCTACTGAGCCGACCTGTGACAGTCTCATTGTCACAGGTCGGCTAGAACTATGAGGTGAGTGAAAAGCACTCACCTCATAATTCTCCTTTAAATGTGTTAGTCAAGTCCATCTAAATTTGCTAACACTATCCCCTGCACAGTTGGAAAGTGCTGCTGTCCAAGGCTGGCTCCATTATTCCTCTATAGATTGGAGCAGAGGCGTAACTAAAAACTTCAGGGCCCTCTTCTTTCCACCCCCCCCCCCCCACGGGCAACAAACCAGGGGCCCGGAGACAC